ATCATCACCACCATGCACCACCTCCTTCCATTGCTCCTCATCCTCCTTCCCTCCCTCCCTCCCCGTTTATTTTCAAGTGTGAACGGCAAACTGCACTAATTGCCTGCGGACTGTTTACGTCCTGTCTGGTTTATTTTGAAGAGCGATATGATTGTGCTCTCAAGATCCATAACAATGTCATAAACCGCAATCATGCACTTAAAAAGACAGTCAAGTCTGCTGCGACGTGTGTTCATTAAAGAGAAGAGGAGGAGAGAGGAAGGGAAGAAGAAAGGGAGAAAAGAAAACTGGCTCTTTTCAGCAGTTGGATTTATAGTTGCAGTAATTTGCAGTGATGGAATGAAATGATGTGTGCAGGTAAAAAAAAAAGAAAAGAAACAACCCTGCATGACGCCAAATGAAGACCTCTTCTGCCATCTTGTGGCCACGTGGCGCAACAAATCCTCCTCCCTGCATCCTCCTTGCTCCATCACTCCAACTCTCTTTAATATCGAGGTGAATCTAATCTAGATCTTCTTTAAGGCAATAAACCCCAGATAGCTTCCCTTTAAATGAAAAGCACCGCTTATAATAGCTTCAAAAGCCTCGTTTATTTGGCGATGTGCATGATAGGAAGGGGAGAGAAATGATTCATGCAGAGGTTTCACTGTGTCCCAAGTGCACATTTCCTCAATCGGAGGTATATAATAGTGTTATCCACGCAGGCTGAACTATGAGGTGGGTTTTAATGTGCCACTGATTTATCCCCTCAAGCAGCCAAAAGCAATTTCTGATCAATCTGACCTTGATGCAAAGCTGAAGGAGGGGTTGTTTTATTGGTCTGGCTTCTTATAAGAGCGCAAAACAAAAAGCTGTTCTTCCTGAAAGTTTGGAAAAAAGAGTTAAGCTGCAGCTGGCGCGTCAGTTTTGGATGAACATTTTATAATTTTTCAGTTTTTTTAAGTAAATAACAAGCCGCCACGTGCTTTATTTTGTTTTTGTTGTTGATTCATAAATTCTCCACAATTATTTTCTTTTTTCATTTCAATTAAAAATAATGATTTCCGGTCTAAATGAAGCCAAATGAGCTCATCAAACAAAAATACTGCTTTTGCACCTTTTACATTTCATAATAAAATTCTAAACGCAAATAAAACCTCCTACATTTATCTTATTAATAATCAAATTTTTTGTGCATTTTTTATAAGTTGACAAAAGAAAAACTTCACGAAACAGAGCTGCAGTGTGAATTTCCACATTTATATTGTTATAAATAGATTTAACGGAAGTCTTTAATYGGTTCCAAATTATTTTTCCATGTTTTCGTTTTAAATTTAGGCCTGCGCATGCCAACAGTGGACATCACTGTCTGGAATTAAAAATAGTTTTTGCGCTCTGACGAGCCACTTTTTTTGTTTCTTAGTCAGACAATAATCAGCCTTTCAGTCCGGAGAAAGGAGGGATGGGAGGGACAGAGAAATGAGAGGGCTGCTGTTGGCACAGCTCTATCAAGGAAGAAGGACTCCCTGTTACGCGTGAATGGGGCTTCTTTTTTTTTTTTTCTGAACCAGAATAGATATAGCACGAATTTTTAATTCGTTTTTTTTTCTTTCGGAGACAACAATGCTTTATTTGACAGCTTGATACAATTTGGGGTTTGTGAGAGGTTCTTTTTCTCTTTCTCCCGAACCCAGCTGCCCATATGGGACACAACGTGCGCAGCGAGAGATCACAATGGCACCGAGTGACAGGCGGGACTAAAAAAAAAAAAAAAACAAGGATTCATCTCCCTGACTCTGAACAGCACCGAGAAACTCTGTCTGTCTGCGTCTCTGCTGCTGCTCTTTAACATGCACGCAGCAGAACCGGGCCTGGGCTTTTGTCTTTGGATGGGTTATATTCTGCAGACAAAGTGTCCAAAACCCGACAAGAGAAATCAGAGTGCTTTTTCTGCTATTTTATTATTTTATTTTTAAATTTTAGTGTTTTTGGATCGTGTTAACGCCTCTCATTYACCACGCGCCGCTTTCCTAAATATTGGCTCATTTTATCATTTGCTCATTTTTTCCCCCTGCCTCTTATTTAGAACCCCAAAAAACACGCCAAGAAGTTGCTGATTTATTTGACCTACAAGCTCAACCGGTGTTTAAGACAGAGGCGCCCTTTCTGTCAGGGACAAATGGCACAAAAGCAGTAGCGCAACAACCAAACCCCCCCGGGAGCCTCGTTTCTGTAAATAATTAGCAAATCTGCCTAATTTAGCTGTTTGTTCTGTGATGATAGGGGCGACTCTAACATCTGCTGGGAGAATTCTGTCCCGGGACAAACAAAATGCATAGATTTTTTTCTCTCTCTCTCCCCTGGGTTTTATCATATTTACCCAAGATATTGACGGAGTCAGATAATCCGCAGTGCGCTCACTGAGGAGCCGTTTGTGCTCCCGGTCCTCGCGCGTCCTCAGAYAGCGTGTAACATATTTTAATGTCAGATAGAAAAGCTAATAAGTGACGTGATCATGTTAGAATAACTTTATCAGATGATTAAAGAGGCTGTAGGATTTTTTTTTCACTTGGCTGCGATTAAACAAWGAAGGCATTGATTGGTGCGGCTCTGTTTGCAGTTTAGCGCGTAATAAGATAACAAAACAATTTATTGCGTTAAACGATGCTTTGCCTGCGCTGTGCGCCACTTTACACCCAAGGCCGGGAGTGGCTGGCGAGCCTGACAAAAAGGAGTGCTTTTGGCTCAAAAGCTTCTTATGTTGAGAAGCCCACTTATATTAAGTGAGTGGATTTTAGTCCCATTTCACAATTGACTTTGGGCTCTTTATTTAGTGAGGTGTTCGGACTGAGAAAAAATATTCCCGGGATTAAATTGAACCCAAACAGGAAAGGAGTGAAGTGCGCAGAAGATTTATTCCCATGGTTAACCCCCATTCTGCTCCATAATAAACCGTTTGTCTTCTTCTATTGTGGATTTTAGCAACGTCTCAAATAAAATATATAAATATAAAACACTTAAACAGACACTAACTCACCAACATGTTATTTTTATTTAAAAATTATTTGATTTTAGCCATCATCGCGCAAAGATGTTTCTCCTTTAAATATATATTTTGTCCTGAGAAGTCCTAATCTTGTTTTTTTTATTAATTATTGTATTTTTAAATGATCATTTTAACTGTTTTCCATCTGCATTCACACCACCTGCCACAAATATATTTACAAGAAATAAAAGCCAAAGGGGGGAAAAAAGGGCTGAAAACTTGCCAGTTTTTTTATTCATGGCCATAAATATTTTTTTTCGGTCCATAAAAGAAGCAAGAAATTAAAATTTTCTATAATTATATAAAGTGGTTCGTACGTGCTGAGAATAACACGAAGGGACAAAATAATAATAATAAAAAAGGGAAAAAAGGAGAGAAAACATCTCTACAACCAACACACAACATACTTTACAAAAAAATAAATTCACAAGAAGAGCATTGAAATCTTAATAAAATCTATAAGGGTGGGGTGAGGGGGGGTTCGGACCCAGTTTTCTTAACGAAAACATGTAAACACGGCGCACACATGAGCCCCGAATAAAAAAATGGGAGTATTTATATGAGTCAAGCTGCAAAAAAGGAAAGTCTTTTGTTTTGTTGTGTGTGTTTTTGTTTATTTTTTCTCCTTTCTCTTTGTTTTGTGGGGGGTGGGGGGGGGGACTCCCTATCGCACCTCCAAGCCAAGTCTCTATAATCTCTCTCACCAAGTCCACTGTTGCGTCTGCACCAAGTGATGCGCTGTGGGGAACTGCGGCGCGGCCGCGGCGCCGTACTGCGCGTTATACTGCATGTGTTGGAGCGACTGGGCGCTATACGCCGAGAAGGGGATCCCGGCCTGAAAAGTGGCCGCCAAGTCCTGAGCTTTAAGAGTGTGACAAGGCTTTCCATCCCTGACTAAGACGGGCACGGCCACCCGCCTGGGAGAAGGGAGATGGGTCACTTCCATACCTTTCTCGGCCCGGGCTCTCTTCATCTTATACCGGTGGTTCTGGAACCAGATCTTCACTTGGGTCGGGGTGAGGCGGATCAAGCTGGCCAAGTGCTCCCTCTCYGGGGCGGACAGGTACCTCTGCTGCCTGAAGCGGCGCTCCAGCTCGTAGGTCTGCGCCTTGGAAAACAACACCCTCCGTTTGCGCTTCTTGCCGGAGTCGCTGCCGCCGCTGCTGGACGTCTCCTTGTCGTTGTCCGGGGACTCGTCGTCCGCGGACGGTTCCGGGGACTTCGCCGAGTCCTGCGAGCTGGCGGACAGACCGTGCACTGGGACAAGAAACGGGAGAAACACTGTCAAAATGTTATGTCGGGCAGTTCTCAGACACATTACAGGCCACATTTAGTTCAGAATAAACATTTTAGGAAGCTTTTGTCACAAATTCAACCTTTGCGCAAAAAAACAAAACAAAGATTTAAAACTTGCTCTGAGCCAAACAAAGATTTAAGGAGCTCAGATCACTTTTAGCACACAAACACTGAATAAACAAAACACGTTTGATCAAATAACTCACAAAATCTGGATAAAAACAAACTCAAGGCATCAGAAGTTCCATTTTCTAAAAAAAAGCAGAGGGGCTCAGTGAAGCGTAAAATGCGCATTGTCTGCTTTTAAACGCCCAAATGGCACCTTTTTTTTTTCATTTTCCACACTCTGCTTATATTTGGAAAAAAAATAAAACAAGCGAGCTGAAAATGCTARCCCTCTTTTTTTCACACTGTGTCTTATTGATTAAAATCTTGCAAAAGTGCGTTAAGCCTTTACACTGCACGCTGTAAGCACCTCGAGACCAGCAGTGCACGGTGCATAAAGATGAACAGCGCACGCCACCCAAGGGCATCGTTAGGGCGCAATATGCCATCAATTATGACTTAATGTAACCGCAAAGGCTGAAAATTGCGCAAATCGATAAGATAAGGATTGAAAGACTCTATAGGYTACTTACATGAATACTGAATACTGTCCGTGGTAGCAAGCCATCGTGTGTAAGGATTGTCACTACTGTCGTAAAAGGGGTTCTTTAAAGGCAGGTTCTGAACGTTTTCTAGAGGACTTTGCACCAAAACTCCCGTGGTTTTCGTCGTGGACGTGGTCTCCGATCCCTCCGTGTCCTCTTCAGCTCCGGTGATAGATCCGTCCTCATCGTTCGTGTCAGGAAGGTCCAAAATGTCCTTTACAGAAAAGCCCGTCTTTGTGTTGGTCAACGACATATTCTGGTAGAGGGGGGGAAAATATGCAAAGGGGGGGAAGAAAAAGTTGCTGCACCAGCCTTTTTTCGGGGGACAATCCGCTGTGGTGGAAGAAACAGACAAGAAGAGAAAAAGCAGAGGCAAAAAAAAAAATTGTTCAGGGGGGAGAGAAAATAAAAACCCCACCTCGGATGGGTATAAGTGTCGCTCTACGCTGAAGTACAGTGAAAGCTGCAGCCACTGTGGAAAACCATTGCCTGAGCAAGTGGGATTCAGTCAGTCTCTGTAAGTCCAGGAAGGATGCCAAAGTGGCTGAAGTGCTATATGTGGCTCATGGATACTGTGCTACTGCTGGGTGCTAGAGGGAAATAAGCCATTACCTTGTCCGATCAGTCCATATAAGGTTGGTCTGAACACATGAACCTGCAGTGAAAAAGCATTAAAAAACGCGAAAGGTTGGCCACGTGTGGGCGGGTCTTAGGAGTCAAGTGGATGAAGACAGTGTTTGCAGATGTGAAATTGTGGGTTTTGGGGAGATCCGAGCCTCTACCATTGGTGCTTCAGAGCATGATGAGTGGTATAACGTGTCAATTAATTACAAAGACGGGGAGGGCCTTTTTTACACCCTATTTACATACAAAGAACCTCCAAGTAGCTTTATACTCACAATACTTAAAAAAAGCCCGTTTCAGCAAACTGATGCCACTGAAGCTTCAGCCTTTTTTCTACTTTTCTTATAGTTGTACACAACATTTTGGAGATGGATGCTGAAAGACTTTGCTTTTTCTGCGTAGAAAAACAGCGAGGAAAGAAACCTGCTCCCGTTCAAATAATGGCAGATAATTTATGTAAACCTTTTGTGTCAATATTTTTACCAGAGCTTAAAGACAAGAGGATGAACTGAAACTGAAGCAAGACTGTGTTTATTTAGAGCAAGTATTTGGGACCATACATAATAATAATAATAA